TAGAATAGTCATATATGAACTACCTAAGTTAATAAGTTGAACTATTACATAACTCTGTTTCATCATCTTTCAACATCCCCAAGACTTTTTGAGATGTATGTGACAAGGCCTCTTTCCCAAGTGCTCAAATCTCCTGAATTTGGGCAGCCCGACGGCCCGAATTCGGGCTGCTTAGTGATCCAAGACGAGGAATCCGAGACCTACTCGTGTTTCGGGTTGTGTCGGAATCGGAGGCTCAAACTTCTGCCTTTTCCTCAGGACAAAGAGCTTCTTGTTCGTTACACGACGACCAACGGCCAGACAACCACCGTTTACGAGGATCCCGTTTTCTTGATCCCGGTTATTGATCTACCGCTAGACTCCAATCGGTATTACGCAATCGTCCCACATGGAAAGCGAAAAGGGTACGTAATAAAATTATAAACGCGCTTGTGTTTGTGTTTGTGTGTTCTGTTTTGTTATTGCACTAATGGGGAACAAAAATTCTTGTATGACACTGACTTATTATTAGACGGGTCGATCTGTCATTTTTTTAACCAAAAAATACATAATTATTCTATAAAGTGTCATACTTTTGTTTATGTTGGTTGTTAAAGATGATATTTCAGTTTAAAAGTATGCATATTTGTTGAAAAATATGTTGCCATTAGGTCTGAGTCTTACTAGATGAGGAACTATATGCGAATTGATAGATTAGGACCTCTATACTAAGTCTTAAATTTGCCTAAAAGGAACACTGAGCAGATATTTAGATTATGTTGCATGAAATTTGGTGTGTTTGCATAAGCTAGTATTTTTTTTTACTTTTTTTCTTTTTTAATCATGCAGTAGTTTATTGTATTACAAGAGATAATGAAAGGTGGGAAAAAATAAAAGAGAATTTTTTCAATCCGAAAGTATTTATTTTCTGACACTCACTTTCTTCAACCCGATTTTCAGAGAAGCATATACTTGCTCAAGAGAAGATGATAAGACCACCTGCTGTTTCTGTCGTTTCGTGAAAGACGTAAAACCGAGGCCGTTGGATCCACAAAACATTTATCAGCAATTCCAGATATCTCCGTACGAAGCGCTTTGCAGCGGCACGGGTGGCTTTATCGCCACCTCCATAGCTCTCGACGGCTTCCCACCGTCATTCCTCCGCCGGGAAGGCTGGACCATCCACACAAAGACCCCTCACAATTTCAAGCTCGACACTGCAAATGGCCTCGACCCTGTACTCCGGGCCCGCCTCCCGGATTTCGATTTCCCCATTTCCCGAGAGTTTTCCGAGCCTTTAGTCGTCGGGAAATGGTGTAGCCCCTTCGTGTTCGTAAAGGAAGGGACTCTGCACGAACAAGTAAAGCGTTCGGTGTACTATGAGTGGACGCTCGAGCAAAGATGGGAAAAGATCTTCGCTTGTCGTAATGAGGGCAACGATAACCGAGTGGCGATTGACGACGTGTTTGAGGACGAACGAACATTTGTCGGTGGGGTCAGAGGCGAGTGGGACGAGAAGAGTTCGGTTGATGGGGTGGTTTGGTATGTGGGTTGCGGTAGTGAAGGAGAGAAAAAAACGAGCGTGGGGTTGAGAGTGGAAATAGTCGAGCGAATGAGGTGGGAGGAGTCGAGAGGCGGGTGGGCTGGCGGGGATGGGCGGCGGGTGAGGGTTAGTAAGGTGGAGGAGTGTGAAGTGTGGGGTGAGTTTGGATTGTATGTGTTGGTTGAGAGGTTTAATTTGAGGAGGATGGATGGGAGTTTGGTGATGTGTTGTGAGTTTAGGCACTTTCACCATGTGAGGGCTAAATGGGAGTAGTTTGTGTGGAAGGAAATAAGTTAATTGTGGATTGGTAGTTGATTGTTCTCTTCTCTAGTAGTGTGTCTTGTTCTTGGCCATTGTGTGTGTTTGGGTGTGTGTTTTGCTTCCAATTGTTTGTGTTGTTGTGTAACTATGTTGGTGTGTGTGTGTTGTTCTT